AGAGACACTTGTACAACCATGTTTGTTGCTGCTCTTTTCACAATAGCTAAGAGATGGAAGCAACCTCAGTGCCCCTCAACTGACCAGTGGTTAACAAAAATGTGGTATATTTACACAATGGAGTTCTATTCAGCAATAAAGAAAGACGAAATAATGAAATTTGCAGGTAAATGGATAGATCTAGAAACTGTTATACTAAGTGAAGTAATACAAACTCTGAAAAACGACGTATGTTGTCCCTCATATGTGTATCCTAGCACCAAATCCTTTTAAAATCCATGTCCTCTTAATAGGATGATGCTATACAGTAGTCCCTTCTGCATGAAATAACTATCATCATCACCACTTTAGCTGAGCCTGATCGCTAAACATCGTCACAATTTGGCTTGTTGATGGTTGTGCGCATTCATTAAAGGAAGGCCAAGCAGGGTCATTGGAACCTCACCGAATTATCCTGCCATGCTTCCCAGCCAGCTGTATATAATTTGATCCTAATTACACTTGGCCTCCTGGATTTGGGGAGGGCTGAAGTATGCAATCTGGGGAAGGCTAGGAAGAGAAGGCATGATCCATGCTGGGTAAAGGCTTTTCAGTGTGCGTACCCTCAGGTCATATATACACCTCAGCAACCCCTCAGTTATCTCTGTAAGTAAGCTCAATAAATTCATTGGTTCCCCAGTAAAACTTAAATCAAACATTGGCTTGACACTAGACCCTTGAAAGAGAATAAGCATTGCTTAGCATCTCCAGGAAAAGAAGTCTCAGAACAGATGGAAAATTTATTTGTTAATACTATTATGTCTCAAAATTATTAAAAAAAAAAAAAGAAAATGAGAATGTAAAAGATGTTGAAAGGATGTGGGAATGGAGATATTTTCCAAAATAAACAGAAAAAATGAGGAAGCCTAAGCAAGTGATGGTCTGTTTAGGTGCGTTACGATATACAAAGGATGATACAAAAATAATATACACATAATCTTAAAATGTCTATGGTCATAGTTTAGTCAACTAGTTTTAGGAACAAAATATATATCTAGTTAAGGTTTATCTGATAATGTTTGGGTTTTGCCCATGCTTTATCCACATAGCACATGGTAATTAAAAGATTCAGATTGATGGAACTAAACTTCTTGAATATTTAACAGCCATACTTTGAGGCCTATACTAATCTGGTCAGAGGGATTTAAAGAACAGGTTTTGATCTTTGCCCTCCAAGATTGATTAGTCACCTGTCCTTTTGTTCAGGGAGGCCATTGAGACCCCAGAAGATGGACTTGTACCAGTGTCTAGTCTGCAAAGTGGAGGGTCAAGACAGAGGAAACATTTCCCTCATGCTTCCAAGCACCAGACATGGATGAGCAGGACCTTTGACTTATCTTCATGTAGATGGAACTGGTAAAAGAAAGGATCCAGGAGCTCCTCCCAAGCTCATGTGACCCCTGAGGAACAGATCCTCAAATGGCCTTAAGTGTAAAAATAAATAGATTTTTTTGGGCCAATTGTATGGTCTCAAACACTCAAAAGGAAAGTATAACCAGAGAGTAAAGTCATCAGTATATTTCTTTATTTTTTTTAAACTTTTTTTACTTATTATTTTTATTTTTCTTATGTGTATAAGTGTACTACCTCCATGTACGTGAGTGCACCCATGTTGTGCAATGCCATGGAGGTCAGAAGAGGGCTTCCGATTCCTCTGGAACTGGAGTTAAGGATGGTTCATAGCCGCCATATGGGTGCTGGGAATCGAACCTGGTCCTCTGCTAGAGCGGTCAGTGCTCTTAACCTCTGAACAATCTCTTTTTCTTTAAGAGTTCAAGGGATTACACATCCTAGACATTAGGCTTAAGTCTATATAAAAAATTATTTAGACAATTATTTCTCATTGATGATTTTGTTCCTAACCAGAAAGTGTTGCTCAGATGTATGACTTCAAATCTTGGTCTCCAATACTGTAGTGCCCACCTGTAGCTAAGGGAGACAAGCAGCTATTGTTCTAAAGTGATGGATAAATTTGTTTTCTCCCCTATCTTGAAACCTTTGAGAGGGAACTGACACTGATTCTAACCACTCCAACAGCTATCAAAATACCTGAAAGCAAATCCCGAGTCCATCAATCTTGAGTCTAGCCTTGGAAGACAAAAGAAAAATGAAGAACCCAATAGAGGGATGCTTTTGGAAGCTCTTTTTAAGAAATTCCAATGAACTCTCATATGAACATTTGAAAACTGCCTGGTGCAAACTTTTTTCTAGTTCCCTGTCTAGAACTTGTAATGCTAATTACTTTTGCCTTTACTTCTCTTTCACATTTCCTACTCACGATTCAAATATTTTCTTTTCCTCCTCAAGAGTTATGCAATTTGGGAGTCTTTTAGATAGACCCACTGAAGGGGTATTCCAATTGCCTCACCCTGAGTCCCTCTCTGTTCAACATGGAAGAAGCCAGAGCGGTCTGCATCCTGATTCCCTATTGGCAATTTGGGTAACCTCTTCAGAGGATGGTGTGATAAAAAAAGGAGGTAGGAATTGGCTAGGCAGTTAGGGAAAAAAGACCCCAAAGAAAAGTAGCCAGTCTCTTGGCTAAAACTCACAATGTCCTTGGGCCTCTTAGCAACATACTCTGTTCCAAAGGCCAAAAATGTCGAAAATATTTGGGAGCTTTATCTAATCTTTATGAGATTTTAGGGTTACCTCTTCAGAAGGGGGAATGTTAGAGTAGCCAAAAGCCCCATAAAAAATAAAGAAAGAAAAAGAAAGAGGACATGAAGTTATGAGAAAAAAAGTGATGGGGAGATATGGGAGGAGTTGGAGGGGAGGGAGTGGGTATGGATTTGATCAAAACACCTTATATGCATGTATGAAATTCTCAATAAATTGTTTATTTAAAAAAAAAGTAAATTGGATGGCTTAGCAGGTAAGGGAGCTTGCTGCTGAGACTGAAGACATAGTTTGATCTCTGGGACCAACATGGTTGGTACCGCAAGTTCCATATAAATCTATAGTTTTTTTCTACATTTTTCATATTATTTTTGAAAAGAAGTGAGTTGTTTATTCTACAGAATTGTCCCTCAGTGTAGATTTTACTGAATTCATACTATCAATAAAACGGTGTGTTTTTCTGTCCTCTCCTTTCTGTCATGAGGAAAAAAAGCTGAGTATCTAAAAAACAGAATACAATATAACTTTACCCAACTGTTCCTAGGAGATTCTTTTGCGGTCTTTGCTTTGTTTCTGTTTTTTGTTTGTTTTGCAAATGGAATTTTCACTAGTGGAAGACATTCAGGTTCTAGTCCTGGCTCCCAACAGTATGTTCATTTAACATTTGTTGTCAACATTTAAAAACTGAGTGCTATCACACAAAAAGCAGAATTAAAAAAACAAAAAAACCCCCAGAATGTCTGAAGTGTTGACCCCAGGCCACTGAAAGGCAGGCAGCAAGCCAATGGCCAGTTTGCTCAACGGGGTGAGGCTCTGAGCTCTTCACCCTCTCCCGGTCTTCCCTCCAATCTCCTGAGACTGTAGTGGAAGACAGTCTATCGTGATGCTTATGTCACTTTTTTTCCTTGTGTTCTGCCCAATTCCATGTTTTTTTTGCCTCCCCTGTCAGCATGTGAATTCTAGTTATGGCTTAGAGACAGTAGCAAGACATCAGATACTCTCCCTAAATCATGGGTGAGGGAGTATGAAGCATGAAGAAAGTTTTGATGTGAAGTCAATAAATTCTCTCTTGCTAGCTATATGCCCCAAGGGGACAAAAGGTGCACCCCTCAATGCGGGCAATGGTTAAGAAGAAGGCCTTCAAATCAGTCTCTAATGGAAATATGGAAAAAGCAGAAGAGAGAATAGAACACAGCCCACAAGATCTGGCTCCATGTACAGACAACATCCATTTTCAAAGAGTCATGATATAATTGAGATAAGAATCCAAACATTTCTGATCATTCTGAAGAAAACAAATTGTAAAAGGTCAAAAATGAAGTCAGAACAACCCAAGAACTCAACTGTTCATATGAATATCTCAAGAAAGCTTCCGAGGTGCTTCCCCGCTCCACAGCCGTCAGCCCTGCCTCTTCCTTACAGTGCTTGTCTCTTGTTGCTACTGTGCCCTGAAATGCCAGACTCATACAAGCCAGGAGTAACAGACGTTGACTTTTCAGATCTTTCTTCACAAGTTTCCTCGTTACTGGCATTCATCTTTTGCCTGTGAAAAGAACACTGCATCACTATAGACTCAAAGGGAAGAGAGGTATACAGAGTATTTGGTGGTGGGGTAGAGAAACAGCTTTTTTCTTTTCTGAAAAAGGGGTATTTTCATTACTTGCAGTGGTTTTAAATTTGGCAAAATAAGGTGTTTGGGTGAAATATGGTATTTGGGCAATCCCAGTGAGGATTCCCTCCCTCCCTCCCTTCCTCCCTCTGCTCTTTTTCCAACCCTTCTCCTCTTCTTCCCTCCCTCCCTCTCTCCCTTCCCCCTTTCTTCCTCCCTCTCCATTCCTCCTTCCCTCCATTCCTTCCTCCCTCCCTTCCTTTCTTTTTCCAACCCTTCTCCTCTTCTTCCCTCCCTCCCTCTCTCCCTTCCCCCTTTCTTCCTCCCTCTCCATTCCTCCTTCCCTCCATTCCTTCCTCCCTCCCTTCCTTTCTTTTTCCAACCCTTCTCCTCTTCTTCCCTCCCTCCCTCTCTCCCTTCCCTTCTTCCTCCCTCTCCATTCCTCCTTCCCTCCCTTCCTTCCTCCCTCCCTTCCTTTCTTTTTCCATCCCTTCCCCTCTTCTTCCCTCCCTCCCTCCCTCTCTCCCTTCCCCCTTTCTCCGTCTCTCCCTCCCTTCCTCCTTCCCTCCCTCCCTTCCTCCCTCCCTTCCTTTCTTTTTCCATCCCTTCCCCTCTTCTTCCCTCCCTCCCTCTCTCTCTCCCTTCCCCCTTTCTCCCTCTCTCCCTCCCTTTCTTCATTCTTTCTTTCTTTTGAACTGAACTTATGCAATGGGTAACTTCTCACTGATGAAATTTTATTTTAATGTTTTAAGAAGCACCTTCAGGGAACAGTATTTCTGATCTGAAGTTGGTTTCTACAGGAGCTAGAAGCACCTGCATCTGGGGTAAACCACTAACCCCCAAACCACTGAAGTCTCAGAGAAAATATTTGAAAAACAGCCCTCAGTCATTATAATGAGCAAGCTAAAATTCCACAGACAAATTTCCCATGTTGCTTTGCATAAAACAGACACAAGTGAAGAAGTGTAGATACACTTCAATCTGTATAATTCCAATGAACAATGCACCTCCATGGCAAGTGTGTGCCCTGCCCAGTTATATACCTCTCCCTCAAAGCCCAGGGCTGCGGTATCTGCAAAGAGCCCCCAGTTTGTCTTTTAAACCTATTCCTCACTTGAACACACTCCCTCTCTTAAATATAACTCAGCCATGTCTTTCTGTGCGACAGCATTCACACCTTAGGTTAATGTTTTCTTCTGTCAGGAGCTGTATGGTGTACTTATATTTTTCTTCAGCTTCAGCAAGCTTGATCTGGAACATTTTCTCCAGACTTCCCACCAAAGCTTTCTGAAAGACATCAATTTTAGCAGTGTCTTCTCTAGAGTCCTCACAGCGAAGCTATAGAGCAGAACAACACAGAGGCCTGGTCTCTTCCGCCATTCCCATTGCTCCTAGGGCTTACCTCTCTCTGGAGTTCCAGCTGGTTGTGGTAAAGGTTCGTGTTAAGTGACTCCAGGATAATAGCTTGTGCATGCAACTCTTCCTCCAAGATCTGCACAAGAAGAAACTGTCTTAGGATGTCATGCTGACGTAACATCCAGGAGACAGAAGAGAATCTGAGACTATTCTCTTCTCCAGGACACTTGGGATAGAATGCAGGGCATCAACTTAAGCCACTTCATCTTCACCACCTACAGCCAACCAGTCACCACACTAATCTCTACCCTTCTCTTGCACTCCCACCTGTAACCTGCTCTTCAGCCTCAATGCAACAGCAGCCCTCCCTGGCCAGAGTGCACATGGGGTGGTCACATGGCCATCATATGTTCACTCACTCAGCCAATTTAAAATAATTTTAAAAAGATTTATGTGTACGAGTGCTTTATCTACATGTATGTATTTGTACTGTGTGTGTCTGATATCTGTAGAGGCCAGAAGAGGGCATCGGATCCCCTAGAACTTAAGGATAGTTTTAGCTGCCATCTAGGTGGTGGGAACTGAACCTGGGTCCTCTGCAAGAGTAGCCAGTGCTCTTAACTATTGAGTCATCCCTCCCCCCATCCTCTTTGCATACCAGGCAAGCACCCTACCAACTCACCTGCATTCATCCATTACTGTCACTTCATGTGCATGAGTGCCCCACCTGCATGTATGCAAGCGCACCTGTGTTGTGTGCAATATCCTCGGAGATCAGAAGAGGGCACCGAATCCCCTGGAACTGGAGTTATAGCCAGCTGCCAGCCACCAAGTGGGTGCTGGGATCCAAACCCAGGTCCTCTGCAAGAGCAGCACTCCCAACTGCTGGGCCGTCTCTCCAGCCCTTATTCTTTCTTTCTTTTTTTTTTTAAATTTGTCTTTTTGAGACAGTGTCTCCCTGTAGCCTCCGCTGGTTATTCTTTGTTTTTTATTTATAAGTATTTCAGGCAGAAAAGAGCTCTCTAGGCCCTGAGCAACCTTTTTTTTTTTTTTTTAAAAAAAAATTAAGATTAAAATTTGTTATTTATTTTTATTTTATGTGTATGTTTTGCCTACATGTATGTAAGTGCACCCGTGCATACAATGTCCACAGAGGCCAGAAGAAGTTGTGTCAGTTCCTCTGGAATTGGAATTAGGGATGATTGTTAGCTACCATGTGGGTTCTGGGAACTGAACCTGGTTCCTCTGCAGGAGCAGGCAGTGCTCTTAACCACTGAGCCATCTCTCCAGCTCCTTAAGATTTGTTTTTAATATTTTTATTAATTTTGTTGAGAATTTTGTACATGCATACAATGTATTTTGATCAGATTCACCCCCTATTCCTCCATCTCTCCCTTCTAACTTAGTGTTCTTTTTTCTTTAACTTTTAAGAATTAATATTTTTTATTCATGTATATTTGTGTGTGTATGTGTGTGTATGTGTGTACACATATGTGCAAGTTCCTGTGAAGGTCAGAAGTAGGTGTCAGATTCCCTAGAACTAGAGTTATAGGTGGCTGTGAACTGCCTGATATGGGTGCTAGGAACCAAACTCAGGTCCCCTGGAAGAGCAGCAAGTGCTCTTAACTGCTTTCCAGTCCCATACTGATTATTCTTTGTTAGAATACCTACTGTCGACTCAACTATCTGATAATCTGGGAAAGATGAAACTGTAGGTTTGCAGTTTCCAGAGGTTGGGAGGGGAAGAGAAGGATGAACAGGTGGGATAGAGGGCATTTTAGAACAGGAAACTTCTATTTCACTCAGTGATGATGGATACATGACAAAATATATTAATCAAACCCCGTACACTCCAGAGTGAACCCTAGAGTAAACTGTGGACTTCAGCTAACAACAGTGTATCAGTATTGACTGGTCAATTGTAACTAGCATATCATCCTAACAGCAAGCTACTAATAGGGCAAACGGTGAGGGGTGGGATGGGAGAATACACGGGAACTTTGAAGATGGATAACCAACAGCACCTAATTTTTCTGTAACTCTAAAACTGCTCTAAAGGATAGTCTACCAATTAAATAAAGTGCTACTATAAAATGAATAGGAGCCTGTGTAAAAGTCCTTGAAAAGCAAAATGCTTAGGAGACTTAAGGAACATTATTGTGGCTAGCCTAGAGACAGCAGGAAGTGGGCCAAGGCGGGGCAGACAGAGGAGCCAGTCTGTTCTCAGAGGAGTTACCATGATCTGAGAACAACAGGGTTTTAGGCAGAGAAATGCTTGTACTGGTAGCACTGTTCACCTCAGTCCTCCTGCTCCAAGGAGATGGACTGCAAGGGACAAGAGTGGCCACTGGACTAGAATAAGGGGCAGCAGAGCTGAAAAGAGCGGATGGATTTGGGACATGTTGTAGAGGGTTGGCTGATGCTGGTGAATTGGATGGAGAATGTTGGACTCAAATCCCAGGTATATCTGTGCGTCTCCTATAGGGAATGTCAACTGGACAGCTGGATTTGCAAGTCTGGAGCTTAGAAGTGAGACCAGGCTGAGGAATCAACTCTAGCACAGAGGAGTCATTTACATCAATGAGGGCCATGCACTCAAGAAAGGTGAATAAGGAAGAGCTTTCCAAGCTTTGGAAACTCATGGCCTAGGAGGACCTCGTAGGGAGATGGAGCTGAGGAAGCATCAGCAGCCTGTGGAAGCTGAGGGGAGGGGTTCAAGGTGACCAACAGTACCTGATGCTGAGCTCACAGTAGGTGAGAGAGCCAGGCCATGCCTTGAATTTGGTACTTAAGAATTCACTGGTGATTTTAACAAGAGTGATTTCAGTGGGTGAAGGGAGCGGATGGCAAGCTGGTGTAGAGAGGGGGTGATCTACAGACAGGACCTGCCTCCCACCATTCTGTCTCTTCAGATTCTCCTCCATCCTCTTGTCAAGTGACTCCTCTTCAGACGCTTCCAGTGGCTCCCACTGTCTACAGCATTAAACCCAGATTCCTTGTGAAAGCAAATGGACTCCTGAAGAAGACCTGAACTCACCTGCACTGCTTCCTGTGGATCCATGTAGATTAGCCTTGCTCTGCTGTGAGACCTGCTCTGAGGCCCCACAGAAAAGGGTGCTCCTGATGCTGTCCTCAGGGCTTTAGACTCAAGAGCCTCTGCATGAACCCAGTTCCAAGAGTAGCACGGGTACCATGTGAGTGTGGGACTATGGTTGGAATGAAGGGCCTCAGACTCTGCCCTTCCTAATACATATTTAGGGTGCCTAATCCATCTAATGCTGTCTTGATGATCACATGGTGTATTGTCAGTGTATATATTCAAATCTGGCTCTTAAAAAGGTTGCATTTGTGCCAGGCGCGGTGGGGTAGGCCTTTAATCCCAGCACTTGGGAGGCAGAAGCAGGCAGATCTCTGTGAGTTCGAGTTTTAAGTGCTCCATTACTTTTCCTAGTTTGGGTAAAATTCTATTTCGTTTTCCCGAGAGTGTATCGTTTTCCTGGTCTATCTGTAAGATACTAGTTTCACAGAGAAGAACATAAACGCTTACCTCTTTGGTCCTTTTCAGCTCCTGTATTTGCAACATATCATTCTCATGTTGTTTCATGAGGTCCTGAAAAAAGTTTTATTTGGGAAAGGTCAGTGTTGTGGTTCTGGATCTTCTTTTAGAGAATTAAGAAGCCAGAAGAAGATTCAGGGATATAACACTCAGTGAACTTAAACATTATCAAACGATGGTGTAGAATTTTGACATTAAACAATGAAAATCTTATGTTTAAATTCATCATATTGAAAAATATGAAAATAAATTAGACTCATGAAAAGCTTTTCAGTCAGTACACAGATTTAATGTAGTTAAGAATTTAAGTGTTGGGGTGGGGATATAGCTTAACGGTAGAGTGCTAGCCAAGGAACATGAAGCCTTGAGTTTCATCTTTAGCATCATAAAAATGAAAGAAAAAGAAACAATGGAAGAAAAAAAGAAAGAAAATTTAAAAAGACAAGCCAGTTCTAAAATTTACATGGAAATGCAAAGGATGAAGGACAATCATAAAATCATCTTGAAAAACAATAGCAAAGTTAGATGAGCTTTACTACCAAGTGACAGCAGTTAAGACATGAGCTGTTGCCTTGAACATAGACAGTCAAGCTGAACAGGAAGGAGACTCTGCCCCGTCACTCCAAAGATGTTAAGACAACCCAACAGGGAAAGAAATGTGAAGAACAACTGTATATCCATATAGCAAAAAATACAAACAAACAAACAAAAAAAAACTCCACACAAAAATTTATTCAACATGGATCACAGAATCAGAAATACTAAAATTATAAGGCTTCCAAAAATGTAATTTATTCATAGCAATTTAATAGGTAAAGCTATTGCAGAGCGGACCCAAAAAACTTTTAAACTGAAAGGAAAAAACTGATAATCTGTCTTTCATTAAAATGAGAAACTTGAGTTCCAGGGCAGCTGGGGCTACAGAGAGACCCTGTCTCAAAAAGACCAAAAAAAAAAAAAAAGAGAAACTTTCACACATTGAAAGATAACACTTATTGGGCTGGAGAGATGACTCAGTGGTTAAGAATGCTGACTGTTCTTGCAGAAGACCCAGGTTCGAATCCCAGCACCCACATGGCAGCTAACAACTGTCTGTTAACTCCAGTTCCAGGGGATGTGACAGCCTCTTCTGTCTTCTGTGGGCATCGCACAACATGGGTGCACTTATCTACATGCAGGCAATACAAGCATATACATAAAATAAAAATAGTAAAATATTTAAAATAAAAGAAAGATAACACTTGTAAAATGAAAAAACCCACAGGTTAGAAGTTAATATTTGCAAACATACAGATCCAACAAAGAATTTGTATCCACATCTTTCAAATGGTAAGAGACTTGAGCAGACACATCACCAAAGAAGGTACTAATCCTAGCACTGGAGAGACAGAGGTAGGCAGGTCTCTGTGAGCTGGAGGCCAGCCTGGTCTACATAGTGAATTCCAGGCCAGCCAGGGCTATGTTGTGAGACCTTGTCTCCAAAGAATAAGAGGAGTAAGAGGCAAAGAAGGAGGAGGAGAAAGATGAAGAGGAGGAGGAAAAGGAGGAGGAGAAGAAGGAAGAAATTAATACACCAATGGCCTAAAAAGCATCTGAAAAATCAGCCAACATGATTGGTTACCAGGGAAACTAAGACAACTGTGAAATGCCACTTGATACCCATGAGACTCATCACAATAAAAAGACCGGCTCTGCTAATTGTGGAGGATTTGGTGCAGTCAAAATTCACATATTTAAAATCTAAGAGTAAAATCATACATCTATTTTGGAAAACAGCCAGCATTTCTTATACATACCTTGGAGCTTAGTAATAGGTGAACATCCAAGAGAAATAAGAACATATATCTATGAAACATTTGTACAAGAATGTTTATAAAAGCTTTTTAAAAAGTTAATAAATGAAAGTGATCCAGATCTTCCAAACCAGGAACACAATAACCGCATTGTGTAACGTTCCTACAAAGGAATACTACTGAACAATAAAAAGGAACACAGCTGGACATGGAGCTCATGCTTGGGGCTGCAGTACTGGGAGGCAAAGGCAGGAAGATCAGGAGCTGATGGCCAGCCTGGGCTATTATAGTAAGTTGGAGGCCAACCTGGGCTACAGAGAGAGATCTGTCTCAAAAATACCTTTTTAAAAAGGGGATTTATGAATATGAAAAACAAATGGATCAATTTCATAGATCTTATTTTGAGGGAAAGATCTCTACATAAAAGAGCTTAACTAGTTTTGCCTACATAGCATTTTAAAACTGGTCAAACTTTTGTGCGGTTGTTTCTTGGCTAGTCTGAACTTGGCCAGAGGTGTCGGTGGGACGCTGGCAGTGCTTCCCCCCCTCTGCGCTGGTGTTCTCTAGAGCCTAGGACTGTTCTCCTGGGTTCTTTCACAGCTCTCATTCCTGGGTCCCAGGGTCTGAGGCTGGAGGTTGGGGCGCATCAGAGTGCTGTCTGCCTCTGAGCAATTCCACCAAGCTGCAGTGGTGTCCCCCTGGCCATCAGAGCGTCACTGAAGATGGTAGGGACAGGAAGGGTGAAGAGGGTGGGGAGGGGTGGCTGAAGTTGAAGGCAGTGTGCAGAACAAAGGGCGGGCTTACCACAAAGACCACAGGAGGCCTGCTTGCTGATAAAGAAAAAAAAAAACAACCATGCAGCTGCAAGCGAAAACTCAGGGCAGAACTTCATCAGCCATGGAAAGGAAAAGAAGTGGGAAAACATAAAGAAAGAAAGAAAGTTGCTGAAGGAAAGCATAAGGAATGGATCTGGAAGAATGATCAGGAAAAGGAACAAAAATAAATAGAGGAAAAAGCAGCAAAGGGATCGGAGATGGAGTATTCGTAAGGAAAGGCAGAAGGGAGATATCAAGAAAAAATGCTGAGGAATGTGAGAAAAACAATGCAAGGCAAATTCAGGAGAAAAAGGAAAGGGCAGGAAAAATGTTGAAGGTGTGGTTGGAAGGTGCAAAAATGAACTTCATCCAGCTGCAAAGAGCTGTGATTAAGCTGACTGAGAACCACAGGGGAAGCTCCTACCCAGAGCAGCCTATCACAATTCAGTTTCACAGAAGTCCCTTCATGCAGCTTCCAAAGAGGCTAAGGATGTATCAGAAAATACCAATGAGGGACCTGCCAGGAACAGCCACATGTGTCACTATCTCTAGCAGCTCATGAGGAGCAAGCAACTTTACCTCAGAACTCTGAGCAGGGTACAGAGACAGTGTGTGTGGTGGGCAAGGCAGGGATAGTGTACTTTTTCACCTGGAGCTACTTAAATTTAAAAATCAGAAATCTTTCTCTGTTTTAATGCTCAATCAGTAACAACATTCGATGTGATTACTGACTAGTACCAACATTTGCATGTGTGTCTTTGCCCTTAAAGCTCATTGAGGAAGCTGGGTTTTTTTTTTTAAAGTTTTAAATTATTAAAATTATTACATTTATTTATTTATGGGGGGCTCACATGTTCCACGAGGCGCGAGTGGAGGTCAGAGGACAACTTGTCGGAGTTCTTCCACCATGTGGTTTCCAGGGATCAAACTCAGGTCATCAGGCTTGGTGGCAGGCTCCTTTATCTTAGCTTGAGCCATCTTGCCAGCCTGAGGAAGATCTTTTCTACATTTAAATTTTATAAAATTTTCAGGGTTATTTTGGCATATTGTTTTGCCAGAAGAATATTTAGCAAATACATTTGTGTTTAGTCTATATTAAAATTATACTCAAATACCAATGAAATCAATAGTTTTTCTTGAAAAAACTTATTGGTAGAAATCCAAAGAGTAGCGGTCTGGAGCAGGTTTGGGGAAGATGGGCTTAATGGAAAAAGATCACAACAATGCTTTCTGGCTTGACGAAATTTTCTAGATCTTGAGTTGAGTGTTGGTCACCCAGGTATACACACTTGCCAAGACTTATGAAACTGCACATTAAGTCTGTGCATTTTGTTAGGTAAATATTATACCAGAGAGAGAGAGAGAGAGAGAGAGAGAGAGAGAGAGAGAGAGAGTTATGATACAGGGAGAGAATGATAGAAGACAACTAGATGAAAGGTAGGTAGATAGGTGACAGATGACTGATAGACAACATGTGTGTCCTAGTTTCTTTCTCTATTGCTGTGACAAAACATTCTGACCACTACCGACTTGGGGAGGAAAGGGTTTATTCAGCTTCTATCTCCTGGGTCACAGTTCATGAGGGAGCCCAAGGTAGGAACTCAGGGCAGGAACCTGGAGGCAGGAGCTGGAGCACAGGCCATGGAAGAATGCTGCTTACTGGCTTGCTCCCTGGCCCCTGCTCAGCCTGCTTTCTTATGCAACACAGGCCCACCTGCCCAGGGATGGCACCACCCACAGTGGGCTGGGCCCTCTCACATCAGTCAACAATCAAGCAGGTGCCCCATGGACATGGCTATAGGCCAGTCCAATGAAGGCAATTCCCCAATTGAGGCTCCCTCAGCCCAGGTGTGTCAAGTTGACACTAAAGCTATTCAGCACAATGTGTATATATGGATATAATAGGTGATTGATAGGTAGATGCATATTTGCAGAGAGATAGATGATAGATGATAGAAACCAGTTTACAGTCAACATTACTGGAGAAATAATAGGAGGGAGGTAGGGAAGGATGTGAGCAGTTCAAACGCACCCCAAGCAAGAGGAATTGCTTGCTATTTTTTATTCAGAGGCCTGACCCCTCCAGACCCCAGAAACATCTCCCACAATGCAGAACATGCCCCATAGCTTCACGGTTGTTCTGCTCAGGAATAACAGAAAATATTAGAAATGGGATTTTTATTGGTGAAATTAGTGGCTTTTAAATTAGCAAAATGGTTAGAAATGCATATATAAGTGAAACATTCAAAATACCCCAAATATTGTAAAAACACTCCATTGTGCACGAAAAGGATACAAGCATCTTAGGAAGCTCACAACATGTTTACTTAGGGAGTGACGCCTAGACTTGATCCCAGAACAGTCCTCTGTCCTAGTGGGAGGTGTACTGGCTTGTCAGATGGTAATGATGGCGCAGAGTTCTGTCTCTCTAATGCCACTATACCAGCAAACCTTCATTGCACTGAAAGCTTGGAATGCTGGTGGTGTGAACTGTTTGGAGGCTGTCCTGTTAATGTATCTTTGCTTAGTAAACACCCACATGCTCAGGAAATTTTTGCCCAAGATTTTTCTTACTGGCTAGTAAAAGTACTAACCTTCTATCTAAACTTTTAGGTAGCAACTTTCATTTCCTGGAAGCTGCATGACCAAGCTGGCCTGCTTCAGTTTGCATCAGTGCCTTTCCTCTTCCTCTGCAGAGGGCTGAGGAGGACATCAGAGTGCCATTTTTGCAAAAATTTTTCAGGTTTTGCGTGTTTAGCACACTATAACTTTTATTCCAGTAACTCTGACAAGACTGCCCGCTACAAAAAGGACTGCAAGACTGTCATTCTTCTTGTATAGATTTCCAGCAAAGCTGAATGAGGAGAAACACACCCATGAGGACAAAATGTTCGCCAACTATGCAGGCCCCCAGGCTCGGCTGCACCGCCTGGACTGTACTTTCACCCACTGAGCATCCTTTGGTCTGTTACCTCTTTCTCTCGAATGAAGTTCTCAAAGACAGCACTGTAGGATTCATTTATTTTCCTCTTTTCTTCTTCTGACTCTAGCTCAAACTTTTTTGTCATCTTATGTTCTATGGAAGTGAGGAAAAAAAGCAGATTTATGCATAAATGTAGAAAAAAAGCTGGCCCAGAAAGAAACCCAGAATAACTGAAGATAGAAGCAGTTCCAGACTGGGCCCCACCTGAGGTCTTTCAGCCAGGGCTTCGTGCTCTGATCCTTACATGGGTTGAGGTGAGCCTGCTTCCCATGTTCAATCACATTAACCGTATGGGATTAAGAGCCAACACCTCAGCTCTTTGTGTGTGCTTTATTTCAGATCTGTTGCTTACCATTTTGCCCATTTTGTCTGCTGAAGTAACAGCGGTGCTTTCTTGGGTATTTTTATCTTAGCTCTTCGCTAGCTTGATTGTTCATGATAAAAATTCATTCTGTACCTAGCCTTGGCGCTAAGGTAGGCTTACACTGTTTCCAGGGTTGAGAGACTTGGCAGCAGAGCCCCAGTGTCAAACAGGGAAGGGCAAACACAAATTCCCTCAGCATCTGACTCTGGGAGGGCATGGGCACCTCTGGGTTAATGATGTAACTGGTCTGGGCTGTAACTGGACCGCAGCTAAATTCTGGTCTTTCAAAATGAGAGTTGCACCCTAACTTAGACCTTGGAAACGTTGGACACATGGCATGCTGCATGGAGTAGCCACCAGATGATCTAGCTTCTGGGGCACTGGGATTCTGGGCAAAGCCTCTCCCAGTTGCAGCTCCACATCTTCCCAGCTCAACTCCAGCATCCTTATGCTGCCCTGCACGCCAGAGCCCCTGACAGGTAAGCCTATTTCTTAGAAACCTTTGAATTTAAATGAGCAATTCGATTTTAATCAACTAAACGTATGATGAATGGGGTTGGCATAGAATGTGGAACTAGTCACCCCTCTATTAACTATCCCTCTAGACCTGCTAGCAATCTTTACTCACTGCTCTTTCCTTTCTCAAGGTGCACCTATGGAGCACTTTGCACGACTCAAGCTCTAGGTTAAGTGTTAGAAATATCCAAAATACATATCCAACATGGTTTGTCTTAGGTGGCTGTGGGGTGCTCAGAGGCTGTCAGTATAATAGACCACTTTGTCACACACACCAGGAATATTTTCAATTCAATTCTAATTCAGTAATTTCCCCTGGTATTTTGAGGTCTATATACCCCTTTATAGGTTCCAATACTCGTTCCAGTCCATGATGGGTAAACCTGTGAGTTTTGGGTCCCTTAGTTCAGGTGTCTGAAAAAAATAATAAAAGCCCCCCAGGGGGTAGTAAGGTGGGGGTAGAGACAGATCTGAATATGACCCAAATGCATTGCATAAAATTCTCAAAGGATCAATACAAATATTTTTTAAAGCTCTGCCCCCGCTGTCCTTTGTTTTCTTAGTCAGTCTAGGCACCTTCCATTCAGGAGTTCAGCATTTGGCTCATCCCTTGGTTAAGTCCAAGGCCCTTCCCTCAAGTCAGGATCAAGCTGGGTCAAAATTTTCTGATGCCCACGTTGTCAAAAAGCCAGAAGCTTCTGCAGTACTCACTTTGCTGTAGGAGGATTCTTTCCCGCTCCAACTTCTTGTCCTTCTCCCACTCTGCTTTCCGCCTTGCCCACTTATCTTCCATTTCATCATAAATGCTATCCTGTGGGGGTAAAGGCACCCTGAAGGAGAGGGTGGAGGCACGAGAGCACTGCAGAATCTTCCAAGGCATCCCAGGGTGATCCCAGCATAGCACTGGGGGCCTGTTCTCCCCTCACTCGGGCCCTCACTAAGGGGCTCCTCCATGGATGATGCATGAGAAGGAAATTCCAGCCTAGCCTGGGAAGAGCTGGGAGAATCCCAAAAGTCAAGGGTCATCTATACACAGATTTGCCCTGTTGGATCTGGGCATCCTTTGAAGATAGGTAATGTGGTCCATGTTAGAGAATCACATCTGCTTTGTTCATCTCGTGGGTAAGACATCCTGCCCTAACTCGGGGCCTTCTTCAAGTTTGGGGATTAAAGGAACAGGTTGTGTTCAGAAATAGTTAAAGTGCTCCTATGCTCAGCTTGTGGGGGTATGGAGAGGTACAGACATTTTGGATGGCAATTTAGCCAAATCTATGAATGGCCTTAAATATGTTCATTCCTTTTGATGAGCGCTCTACTGCTAGAATCAAATGTGTTCAAAGTGCTATTTTCTGTTATAGCAAGTGACTGAAAACAGTACATGGCCAATGGTAAGGAGAATAGAGAAATTCCAAGGGTACTTTCATTAGGATAGTATGTAGTCATTAAAAAGGAGGGCAAGGCCCCGATACACCTGAATTAAAAGAGAATATAAAATTCCACCCAGATTTGATACACCACTATCTCAATGATAATTTCAACAAAATCAAGTTATTTACAGGAATTGCCTCTGGGCAGTGAGATTTCTTTTTGTTGTTACTGCTGTTGGTTATTTCTATTTTTTGAAAAACAATGAACAGCTATTACTTTGGTAACTACAAATGTATTTCCCATAGACGTCCTGGGAATTGGATGCCTGACTTGTCACACATAGAAGCAGCTGGGCTCACACTTCCCCCTGGGTTCTGTTAGTGCCTCTCTGGTTCAAAGACACTGGAGTCTCTACAGTTCTAGATTCATCCCAACCTTGTCAGTCAGAAATGAGCCTTGTTTCTTTCCCTTTCAGAATTCACCACATAGTTCTGAACTCACCTGGTATATGTGAAACATATTCTTCAAATATTTATATTTTTTTCCCATCTCCTCTGGACAAAAAGAAAAGAGTCATCACTATTCTTTTGACAAGCACAGTTTCCAATTCACACATGAGCTCCTCTGCATTCCCCATCCCAAGGTCCTCCTCTAGGTGCTGAAATCTTTGTGTGCACCCCCCATCATCCCCAGAACTCAAATGATGGGTTCCAACCTACCTACTGAATCAGAGCCTCTGCAGGAAGGACCTGGTGTTTGTTGACATACGCTCTCAGGGATTTTGACACTTTATTCAACCAGATTTAATAAAAACCCCAGGGGTAAACCTGTATCTGTGAGGAAAGAGGAACAAACCTCCCAGTGTGCATCTGCTTCTCCTTTAAGTAGCATTTCCTCTTTTACTATGGTTATGAAAACAGCACATTCTCTTTAGAAAACTGAAGAATAAGCAAAGTTTAAACGAGACACTAACTTAAAGGAAGAAGGCTGTAGAATTTCTCCTTCTCTCCGTGGAAATTAGTCTAAAAACCCAGACTCTGAAGGATATACATTTTGCTCTTCCAACGGGCAGTGTAAGCTGTGAGACATGGCCAGTACAACCCTATGCATTACAGAGTCATGCAATCACAGTATGCCAGGGAGGATTTAATAAAACACTATTTTACAGGTGGGACAGCTTTCAGAGTCCTTATAACATCATCATTGTAGAACTTTAAAATATACTTTTTAAATGTCCATATCCTCAATTCACTGATAAGGGTATATATTTTTGTCCTTAATTCCCAGATGAGAAGACCAAGAACACCGGAGGATTAAAAAACTTGCTCAGGTTTTCAGAGAAAAGGAAGGACACTGTAGACACAGTCTTCTCTCTTTTCAGTTTCTTTCTTACTCACTCTCTCCTTTTTAGCTTCAGAAGGAAACCTTGCACACCTGGCCATCTGTTGCCCACCCCGCTCCCCCGCCCCATGGCCAAGGGAGCTTCTGGGTCCAGGACCCCTTCAGTCTCTTGCCCCTTCCCAGGCTCTTTCCCCCAGGGCCTAACAGTACCTAGTTTCTCTTGGGCAGCAGCCTTCTCAGCCTTCAAAGCTTCTTTGTAGCTGTTCTCTAACTGCCCAAGCTCCACTTTGTGAGTCTTTTTGAGCTCCCTGTGGGACCCACAAGACCACAATCATTAGTGAAAAGAAGTCCAGAGCCCGTAAGATGTCTCAGTGGGTAAGAGTGCTTGCCGTAGAAGCCTAACATCTTGAGTCCGATCCCTAGAACCCATGGTAGAAGGCAAGAACCAATTCCCAAAAGTTTTCCTCTGACCTCTGTGACACTCGTGCACCTGGACTCACATACACACATGCACACACACACACACACACACATCGTATACATGTGTACACACAGTCATATGCACACAGACACACACCTATAACTAAATATATGAATAATAAGTAAAGAAGAAGGTCAGAACTGAGCTGTTACACCAACCTGCCCACATCCCCTGTGTCCTCACGCTGGAAATTGAGACTTCACTTCTGGAAGTTTCTTCTGATTCTATTTAGAGAGAGTTATTTCCTATAGCCACTACTTTGTACAGAACTGGCACAGTCCTCAGACTCCTTCTAACAGCACAGCTTTGCTTATAGCTCACTTATAAACACCCAGAATAAGTTCGGAACCCAAGATCTAGCCCCTGACCCAGAGGACAGATAATGACGCTTGAATGTTAAATGAGTCTTTGTGTAGAAACTCACAACTGGTCAAAATGCAGAGAATGAGTGTTAGTGGAGTGCTCAGCCACAAATGGGACACCTATATCACATTCCCTCCCTAAGGGTCAGGGACCACTTTGGAACAGGGAGCAGAAAGACTAAGAGTCAGAGGTCAGGGAGGACCAGAACAAACAGTGTTATGTAGACATGGCAGGACCGACACACTCATGAGCTCACAGCAGCTGTGGTTGCCTGCACAAGACCAAGCCAGTCAACATTCCAGCACAGAGGGGAAGGATTCGTGAGTCCTCTCCCTTAACTGAGGAGCTTTGGACACTTGTTGGCTTCTTGGGGAGGGAGAGTCAGTTTTCTTTAAGAGTATGGCTTTTGGTAGCTCAACCACATCCCAGTGGATGCTCCCACACCCAGGAGTACACGGACAGGACAATTGGATTGAAGGGTTATTAAAGGCGGGGGGCAGGGGAGTAGATCCCAAAGTGAGGTGGGTAACAAAGATAGGGTGGATCTGGGAGGAGTCAGAGGGAGGAATTGGGGATAAATGTGATTAAAATACATTGTGTGGAATTTTCAAAGAATAAAATATTTTTTAAAAAATGTGTTAATGAACCATAAAGCCATAAAAGGAGAAGGAAGAAACAAACATATTAATAAATGAATAATGTCAATCTGAGAAGACTACACACTGTATAATTCTATCATTAAGGCCAAGGTAAAACTGGGAAGACAGTAAACCCACAGCAGTGGTTGCCAGGCATTGTGTTTGGGAGAGGGTTGAGTGGGTGGAATGTTCGGACTTTGAGATAGTAACACTACACACATTTTTTTTTCAGACAAACAGAATGTTCAACAACAAGACTGAATCTTAAGCTATGGATGGTGGGCAATATTTATGTGTCCATGTAGACTCATCAGACTGTGACAAATGTAACATCTGGCTGGGATGCTGAAAATGAGGGAAGCTATGGGGTGGGGCATAAGTGGTATAAGAGAACTCTATATTTTCCTGCTTATTTTGTTGTAAACTTAAAGCTGTTCTAAAAGTGAAACAACTAAATATGTCAATGCACACATAAAATGCTATGATTCATCTAGGGATGCTGTCTCTGTGAGATTTCTCTTCTGTTATAAATGATTACATTACAGATGTGGAATAATGAAACCATACTAGTTGACATAGCCATCAGCTCAACTAGATAACTTTTTTTTTGTGGCAAGAATATTTGGAATTTACTCCTTTTTCACTTTTTAAAAAGATTTCATTTTTTTCTTACATTTTGTTTACATGTAGTTCTCTGCAGAGGCCAGAAAAGAGTATCAGATCTAGAGACAGAGTTACAACCAGTTGTGTTATCTGATGTGGGTGCTGGGAACCAAACTTGGGTCCTCTGCAAGAGCAGTACAGGATCTTAACCATAGAGATATATCTCCAGCCCAGAAATTTACTTTTAAGCAATTTAAAAATAAACAACACTATATTATTAACTATTCCACGTCCTGAAAAGCTCTTTGAAAAACCTTTCTCTTGTCTGAGATTTTGTGTACTTAAATTTTTTTATTACATTTATTTTTTTGTGTGTGTGTCTGCATGCATGTACATGGATGTGTGGATGTCAGAGGACAACTTACGGGAGTCAGTTCTCTCCTTCCACCATGTGGGTCCCAGATATCAAACTCAGGTTAGACTTGACAGCAAGTGCCTTTGCCTGCTGAGCCATCTTGCAAATCCAGGTTTGTATACTTTCACAATTATCTCCCCTAGCCCTACCCTCAGCCTCAGTAACCACCTTTCTACATTGTTTTCTATTAATTCAATTGTTTTAGAGTCCAAATATAAGTAAGAACATGTGGGATTTGACTTTCTGTGCCTAACTTATTTCACTTAGCTGAAATAAGTAGAATGTCCTTCAGTTCTACCTATGTTGCCACAAATGAGAAGATTTCCTTCTTTTTTAAGGCAGACGTCTTTTTCTATCTATTCATTTGCTGATGCAACATAGGTGATTCTATAACTTGACTATTGTGCACAGTGCTGTGTAAATATGGGACATCAGACTTTCCCCTTAATTCTGTTAAAACTGGTCTAAAAAATTAAGAATGTAAATTAATAAATAGATGGCTGTGGATGGCAGAGTGAGGGTGCTATCTCTCGACCAGGGTTTCTTAGGCTGCTTGGTCGGGGCAGGCAGCCTGGAAGGGGGGTTTTAAGTCTTCTACACATTTTCTTTGTGTAGGAGCCTTGAATGTTTAGTGCGCAGGGCTTGTGCCAGAAAGCATACCTGTTTATGTTTTCAAAGTTCTCTTTCATCTCAGCACAGCGGACATCCATCTCATTGGAGAGCTAGAAATGAGGGCAGCATTAACAACATGGGATCCAAGACCTCAGCCTGCTCTGATCTGCATCTTCTTCCAAGCCCCTCCATTCAGAGGAGACACCCCTCCTGCACCCCTCCTGGGTGTGCTCTGCAGTGCAAAGGGCACATACTCAGTGAGGGGTGAAACTGCTCCTGCCTTGCTCTTTCTCTGCCCAACCAGTCCATCATGTTGCTTCAGAAGAACCATCTCTTTGACTTTCTTCTTTTTTTTCTTTTGAGTTTGCCACTGCGTCTGTCATTTCATTGTAAGAATGTGGCCCTTTGGCGGCTGGAAAAATGACTCAGCAGTTAAGAGTGGTTAAGACCTAGGTTCAGGGCTGGGTGTGGTGGCTCATGCCTTTAATCCCAGCACTTGGGAGGCAGAGGCAGAGGGATCTCTGTGAGTTGAAGGCCAGCCTGGTCTACATAGTGAGTTCTAACTCCAGTGCTAGGGGTTCTGATGCCCTCCTCTGGTCTACATGAGCATTTCATGTATGTGATACACTCACATGCAGACAAAATACTCATAAAATACTAAAATGATTATTACAATTTTTAGAAAAGATTGTGGTCTTTGGATTATTTCATACAATTCACTGAGCAAAGGATTTGTCTGGAAGAGTAAAACACAACTAACACCGAAAATGCCTTCAAGGAACTTAAAGTCCAGTGTGGGCCGCTTCTCACTGTGGCTGAACTCTATCTAGTAGACAGGGCTGGACACTTTCAAGTGACCTTCCATTCTAACATCAGATGCTCTGGACAGTGTCTCAGGAGGAATGAATATTTCAGTCAGTTGGGGCCAACAGTCAGTTAAGGCAAGAGCTAAGGGCTTGTCCTGTCCCCATCTGACTACTGAGGAGGAACAGGGACTACCTGGCACAGTCAAGGAATCAGCCCCAACCATTGTCTGGTACCTTGCCAGCCTGCATGCCTTCCTTCCCAAGTACACAATGGAAGTATTTTCAAAATCACAGTCTAGGGCCATTCCACAAAGACAGGCTCAAAAGTTGCCTTCCACAAGGCCTGTGATGGCAGGTCAGAATGTGAATTTTCTCAAAGCCCCACCATTAATGAGTTGAGTATGCAAATGATGTAATTTCTTCAAGTCTCAATTTTCCGTGGTAAAAGGAGACATAAACCTGCCAGGGTTTTTATAGGAATAAGATAATGAATGAGGGGATGAGGAAGTCTCTGCTGGGCTGGGCGTAGTGGCGCACACCTTTAATCCCAGTCCTTGCAGGGCAGAGGCAGGTGTTTCTCTTTGAGATAGGGGCCAGTTGTACAGCCAGAAAGTACAATGTCACTTCTACAGCCAGAAAGTACATTAGTACCTTAGTTCTCTAAGTTATGGATGAGAGTGGAATCGGAGAACTTCTGCTCTGTGCACAGTTCTATTCTCAGAGTCCTGAGCCTGGACAGCATGGCTAACAAGAGTAAAATGCCTGGCATTTTTCCTAGCACATAGATGACCTGAAAATATTAGTCTGGAAGATGTTAGCTAAAACAAGTATCACTCACCAATTTCTGGGCAGACTGGTGGTCTCTGTTCATTTGTTCTATTATTGATGTCAGCTCCGAGATCTGCTCTTCAAGGTCAGAAATGATATCAGTCCTGTGGGACAAGCAATTCTGTCATCTGCAGAGCTTGCTGTTCCATGCCAGCCAACCTTCCCCCCACCCCTGGTCTGCCCAGCTCCAGTCTGCTCTGCACCTGCTCCACTACTGTGGGGTGGGGATGGAGGGGTGAATGGGGGGGGTCTTGGATAAGATATTTCACAGTAGGGTGGTCGAACCTCGGATATGGCCCTTAGGGTGTGCTAATGGAAGTGATTAGGGTGGTGTGGTATCCTACTGAGTAGAAGAGAAATGGGAATATGTTGGACATTCGTCAGAGTTTGGTTTGTTAGTGATAGTTGAAATGCAAGAGGAAGCTCAGGGGATTAGGAAATGGGGAATGGGGAGACACTGATGCTGACAGCGAATCACAGACAAGGAAAGGGTCACAGAGGGGACCAAGAGGAGGCTTAAATGATTGACTTTCAGTGGAGTGTGGAGGCACATGCCTATGATCCTAGCACTTGTGAACAGAAGGATCATGAGTTTGGGTCCACCCTGGGTTACACAACAAGATATAGTCTCAAAAAAAACAAACAAGGGCTGGAGAGATGGCTCAGTGGTTAAGAACACTGTCTGCTCTTGCAGAAAACCCAGATTCAAATCCCAGCACCTACATAGCCATTAATAACTATTGGTAACTCCAGTTCCAGGGGATCTGACGCCCTCTTCTGTCCTCTGCAGGCATTGCACAATATGGGTGCACTTACATACATGCAGGCATAACACTCATAAAAATAAAAAAATAAAAATAAATAGTAAAAAAACAACAACAAAGTGGTTTCCAGAGTATATAATGGCTTTCTGAGTTTCTTGGTATGGGGTTGCCATGATCTCTGTGGATTATTCAGCCAGAGCAACAGGGTGGAAAGTGACACTATGTGCAGTGGAGCTGTGAGGAAGTCTTCAAGAGGCTTTGTCTCCTTGCCTGTCTGGGCATAGAGAGGGTGTTAGGTGAGAAAGCAAGAGAGAGGATGCAAGGGAAGAGGGAGCCAGGAGATGAAGGGGTTGGAAATAGAAAATCCTTGTCTTTTAAACACAGTCCTCACTATGAGCAACAATCACAGCTTTGCCAGGAAACAAACTAAGTCTAAGTGTTTCATCATACCGCAAATGGTGATCGCTTCTTTATGAGGCCAAGCTGTGAATACTACCTTGACTATCATATATGACCATTCTCTCCAGAGGGTAGTGAGTGAGCAGGGAAGAGAAAGCAGAGGCTGAATATCCCATGGGACAACAGCGCCATGGCTCCGGCTTCTCTGGGCTGCCTGAGATCAGCAACTCCATAGCTTCCACAGCATGACCTCATCCCCACTCTAAGTCCCTTCCCAAAGGTAATTATTGCTAACGATTTAGGTGCATCCTTTCTATGCATCAATAGATGGGTGATTGTGTTATGTACATTTATGTGTGGTATATACGTGTGTGTGTGTGTGTGTGTGTGTGAAGTATACACATGTGGGTATATGCATGTGGAAGTCAGAGGCCAATGTTAAGTGTCTCCCTCTATTATCCACCTCCACTTATTTTTTGGGACAGGGTCTCTCATTGAATCTGGAATTTACAAATTCAACTAGTGTAGCTGGCCAGGGAGCTCCAATGATCATTCTGTCTTTCCTCCCCGGTGACAGGGTTACAGGTACATGCCACCATGGCAAGCTTCTTACAGAGGATCTGAACTGAGGTTTTCATGCTTACATAGCAAGCACTTTACTAAGCTATCTTCTCAAATCCCTTGGAATAACAGTTCTCTTAACAGACCAAAGCTGGAAGGAGGAGACACTGGGAGAGCCATCCAGTAGTGCAGGTGAGGGTGAACATTGAACTGGAGGACAGTGAGAGAGGCAGGGCTTCAATGAAGAGAGGTTGGCTGTGCACAATGGGGCAGATGAGCCAGAACTGACCACACAGCATCTCCCAGAGTCATGAGTTGATGCCAATTTTTGAGTATTTATAATGAAAAAAAAAAAAAGCATGATCCAGCCCTTCCAGAAACCCTGCTCGACTCCTATTTTCTACACTTTAAACCTATCCTGTTTTATGAATATTTCATGCATCCCTCACCACCAGGAGCAATTTTCTACTTAGTGTGTTATACAGGCCCTCATCCTTGTAGCAGTTGCAGAGCAGGGACCTGTGGCCTGGGTATGGATGTCAGGAGCTTACCCTTGAGGCTGAGCTGAGCTAGACCAGCTGGGCAAAGGCAGCTCTGAGAATCTAGTGCTGGTTCAAAGATATTACCTGGAAAACATGACTTTGTTCAAGATGTCAGATTCCAACTGCTTTTTCCTATTGAACATCTCGTCTCCCAAGGTGACTGAAATCTGCTCCTGATTTTGAATGAGTTGATAGCCAGGTGACATGTTGATTACTTCCTGGGCCCCAAGGTAGAAGATAAAGAAACACTGCAGGCCTGGAGTGCTGAGGTCCCCCCAGGTCCTCTATGGTGGCCTTACTCATCTCTTGTACACTGAACCACTGCGTCAAGATTCTAGGGTCCCTTCTGTGTCTTTCTCCAGTCACCATCCTCATGTCTCTGAGATTCAATCCCAGCACTCACCCGGCACCTGTATGTCTCTAGAGAATCCTTAAGATCAACAGTGCCTAACTGTCCATTGATGCCACACTGTTCCCAGCCCTCTGCATCTTTCCCACCCTCCATTGTGGACTGAGCAAGGAGGTGGCTGGGAAAATATGAGAATTGCTCAGCTTTTGGAATTAACAGGTCTAAGTTGAAATCTTTGCCTCTGGAGCTAACAGCTCTGTGACTCAATTTTCTCATCAGAAAAATGAAGATAATTCTTCAAAGTGAGGAAAACCCCCAAACATATGGAAACGACCAGCAAGGATGTAAATAAATGCTGAAAGTTTACCCTCCTGGTTTCACTAGAGCCCTGGCAAGGCCACTGGTTGACGTAGATACAATCATAGCTTCTAGAACTGCACAAGACACCCTGAAGTTCTGCAGGTTACTGGGCCCTCTGTGCTCCTACAGCATCTTCACCTCTCCTCCCACTTTGCCCCATCCTGTCTCAGCTCGTGGTCACTACATCTTGTGCTTGTCCTCTTATGACATGCTCCCAGCTGGCCTCTCTGCCTTCACTGTCTCTCCCAATGTTCACTTTCTTCTCTACCTACACAGTGATTATTTTTCTCTGCTTATGTCCTTCCTGACCATTAATGACCTTTAAAGCTCTGTGTGACCCTTGTTTAGAGAAAAAAGAAACATAGGTAAAAGGACACAATATCAAAAAACTACCTGCAATGTCCTACCAGAAGGGGCATTTTCTAAACTGCAAATATAACCTGGTTTTGTGCCTGTCTGACATGCAGGAATGTGGCTCATGCCCTGAGACCAGTGCCAAGAGCCTTCTGGGGTTTGTCTCCATCACCTTATCAGACCCCTCTTGCCCTTGCCTGCTTCAGGTAACCTGACAGTGCCTGCCCCAGGTTTTGTGACTTTCCAGTACAGCAGAGGCCTTCCTGCATTGTGGCATGAGCTATACCCTGACTTGTTGCCATCTGGTTTCTTCCAGGGACCTTCACAAGGCAGTGAGAGTAGCTGGGGTTCTTTGTGGTTTGGCTACCTAACAGCCACATACAATGTGTACCACTAATGGCACCGGGATTCCTCCAGGATCTCTATTAAGACTTGGCATGATTACTGGATGCATGCCTTTAATCCCAGCACTTGAGAGGCAGAGGCAGACAGATGTCTGAGTTTGAGCCCAGGCTGGTCTACATAGAGAATTCCAAGTCAGCCAGGGCTACACAGTAATACTCTTTCTTTAAAAAATGATTTGGCAGGGTGAGCGTGTAAAATCCCATACTTGCACATAGTATATGCTAAATGAATGTTCTCCCCTGCCCATTCCCTAGTTTTACTCACATGAAGTAATTTACTACCTTCCTCTTGATTTCTTAAATGGACTTTCTCTCTGCAAGACAAAGATGTGCTCAGAAAGCAACCAGAGCACTGGGAAGACCAAAGCTCAGGGGCTGCTGCACCCTGATGCTACCATCTCTGACCTCTATTCTCCTAGTGCCAGTAACTCAATCTTTTGAGGGATCCTTCTGGGTAGCTGGTGAACCCCCTATGTAGGGCCTCCATGAGGAATGAAGCCCAAAATGTGTTTCATGGGTTAAAAGCAAGGTGTGGGCAAGACTGAGCTCTCAGGACAAATTGTTTCTTTGCCTTTGTTGGCGTCTAGATGCTTCCCATGTCCCTAGTGGTCATTTTGCTTCATGTTCAAAGCAGTCATGATAAGAAGTTATATTCTCATAACTAAACTATATTCTTATATAATGTCCTTGTGGGCTTAGGCCATTTGAAGTTTCCTCTTGTTTCACTTACTAGGTGGGTATCTTGACATGTCACTGTGATGTTTTTACTACTCAGTGATGTTTAATTGCTCTGTGATGTTTTCATTACCCTGAAATGTTTTATTACTCTGTAGTATACTGAAGCTCTGTGCTGCTTCCCACTCACCATGTCTAACTGCTGATAAAGATGTGAAACGAAGAAAATGGAAAGTTCACCAAATGGTTTAATGAAGCACCTGGTCTAAATAGTCCAGGAAAGGTGTAGATCAAACATGACAGATACCCAAACTTCTATTGGTAGTATCTGTTTTTGCAAACTGCAATGACTGTTTGACAGATTCCTAGCCCAATTAGCCTGGCTTAGTTATAGATCAAAAGGCCACAGATGTCCCAACCATTGTCTGGGATATCTCCTTTGCAAGCTATGATGTGATGTGAAAAGATCTATATAACCTCTGTGGTGGTTTGAATGAAAATGTCCCCCACAGGCTTCAAGTATTTGGACATTCTGTCCCCAGTTGGTGATGCTGTTTTGGGATGTTTTAGGAGGTATGGCCTTGCTGGGGCAGTATGGGAAGTACGTCACTAGGGTGGGTTTGAGAATTCTTAAGTCTTGTCAGATGCCCAGTCTCAGTGAATTCCCAGGGGGTTTGGTTTGGGGGAAATCAATGGATTCTGGAAATTCTCTGACATTCCTAGCAGCAAGTCAGTTCAAGACAGGAAGAACCCTGAAGGGGCATTTATTTCAAAAATTTAATCTGCTTCTGCGCCTTGCGCGCGCGCGCGTGTATATGTGTGTGTGGGTGTGTGTGTGTGGGCGTGCGTGTGTGTGTGTGTGTGTGTGTGTGTGAGAGAGAGAGAGAGAGAGAGAGAGAGAGGGAGAAAGAGAGAGAAGAGAGAGAGACCATTTCATTCATTGCTTCATGGAGCTAAAAAACACTTACTTTGGGGAAACAGTAGGCTTTGTTGGTTGGGTCAGGAGGTGGTTCTGGTCTTTTAAAGCTGCTGCAGGAAGAGTCAGCCTGAAAGCAAAAAACAAATAAGCAAAAAGAGAACACCAGCGACTAAAACACCTGCATCACTTCCCAATAAGGGCATCCCTGCAGTGACCCCAAATTGGAATATATGGTATGACCACCAGGATTGTGAAGATCTGAGGTCTTGAAGACCTTAGGTCCAAGGTCCTGGCACTTGTCCATTATCTCCAAGAATTCCCAGGTGGTAGTATGGGCCCCAAAGCCATTATCCCTGGGAAGGGACAGGTGCGATCAAAGTTTTCTGCTAGGTAGCTGCATTTCCCATCCTGCACTTCAAGGCTGAGATGCTTATTGAAATGGCCAGGTCAGGAAGGACTGAAAGGTCAAGTATGCCACTAAGCAACCTGGCAGGGAAGGTGGAAAGCAGGGCCTTCTGGCCCACTGAGAATTTGCTGCTCGCATCCTATTTAGGGACTCTCCTAAAACAAAGAAGAGTACAAAGGAAAGCTGTACCCCCTGTACCTAGCTCAACCCTGATAATTCTTACTTAGACTTCCCTGTAGAGGTTTTTGGGAGCTGGTGAGGGGTCTTGATCAGCTTCCGTGGACCCAAGTTCCAGGGGTCCCAGCAGGTACAGTAGATGAGAGGGTTGGGGTACATGGTCAGGGTCAGAAGCGGTCTTACTTGTTAAGTCAGGAGGCTCTTGCTAGAATTAGAAAACAACAATAAGAGTTGAATCACTCTGAATCAAAGTGAAAGTAGAGACAAGTTGGAAGGACTGAATGAAGGCCAAAGAACAATGTGGAAGCTGAGCTGGAGTAGGCTCCCACTACAGAATGATGCTTCAGTTTTCTATTTGCCCTGAAAACCGTTAAACATTTTCCATCGTTCTTACTGTGCCCCCAAGTGTACAGTTAGTGTTAAACTAATTGTAATGTTTAATTGTATCCAAGTATACAATTAGTGTTCAACTATTGCTGCCCAGGTTTACAGATGAGGACACTCAGAGGTGTCACACTGCAGAGTTGGGAACACACATCTGGGTTCCTAAGCCCCGGCTCTTGTATTGGTTCACATTAACTTTCCCTGGTTAAAGAGAAATCCTCACAGCAGATCCTGCACAGAACTTCCTGGAAAATGAGCTCCATTTCTCCAACTACAGTACAAATGAGTCCCTTGTTTCTCATTCCAGGCCACCCATTTGAATTACACAGGGGAACTCTTCTTCCTGCTCCATAAAACTAACCCCCCATCATGAGGGACTGTATGAAAGATAGCTGTCAAGTATGCCGAAGGCTTGGCCAGGGTTGTCTGCTCTTTTCCACAGCCCCACGAGAATGGGAGTGCCAAAAAAAAAAAGTTTTAATTCAGAAGGACAAGAGAAAGAGAGCAGAGAGTGTTAAACAGAGGGTGAGCATGTACTCGGCACCATAACAGGACCTTGATTGCAGCACGCTGTGAGTTGTGTGTCCATAAAGTGTGTCTAAATAAGGAGCCCATCCCCATATCATAGGTCCCAAAAGCCTTGAGACTTAGAGTTGGTAGGCATTCTGATGACACTGACGGGCAGGTGACAGACATGGCAGAGCACGCAGTAGGACAAATAGTGTCCTTGTCACTTCACCCCGACATGTCTCTATGCCCATCCTCAGAGCCTATGATATACCGCCTCACAGAGAAAGAGAAACTTTGTAGCTGTGACTAAGTTAACAGTCTTGAGATAGATGAACTCCGGATTTTCGAAATCAGAGAAGATGGAAGAGATAGAGGAAAGGGCCACATGTGACACGCTAGAGGAATTTGGGCCTCTGCAGAAGCTGGAAAAGGCACAAAAACAAATTTTCTACCTATGTTTCCAGAAGGACAGTAGCTCTGTCAACACCATGACTTCATCTCGGTGAGACCCTGTTTTAGACTTTGACCTTCAGAACTGTAAGGTAATTAATTAGCTTAGTTATCTAAGTCAGTCCATCTGTGGTGAATTGTTACAGAGAAATGGACTCTGAACATGTGCAAGAGATAGACGAGAGACAGAGAAATTTAAAAGAAATTTAAAAGTTGTGATGTGTAATTACTTCAGGATAAAAATTATTCAAGAAGGCAAACAATTAGGGCAAAGTACACACACACACACACGCACGCACACACATGCACACAATCAATGTAGACAAATTTGATTGAACAAAGAAGTTGTAGTTCCATTAGAAAAAAAAAGTAGAGGGAGGGTGTGTAAGAGCTAACTGCTTTACTATAGTACAAAGTCAATGGAAAAATCTAGAATTGAAAAATTAGCAAACTGGTTTGGCAGTTCAGCTCAGTGGTAGGGCATTGCAAAACACAAGTGAAGCCCAGCACTAAAAAGCAAAACAAACCACCAAGCTCACCACCGCCGCCACCAAAAACACTAGAAATATTACAGAGTAAAGGCAAATTATTTAAAAGTATAAGCTTACATTCTAAAAGAAATAGCTAAAGGAGTTGGAAATAGCTGCCTCTCAGGAGCATTCCAAGGACTATAACCCACAGGTACAGAGTGAGAGAGAGAAACTGTTTCCTAATGAGTTCCTTAACGTCAGTCAGCTCATTAACAATATTGGATTTTAAAATGATAGTCATGAATTATTTCATAAAAATAAAAATACCAAAAAATGTTGTGAGAACCAATAGCCCAACAGACGTAATGAAAGTTTTTAAATCAATGGCTGGTTTCAATATCACATTCAAGAGTCAGACGAAAAATGAAGTAATGAACATGTTTCTGCAACATGACTGAAGTTTGAGAATCCAGGGATGTGTTCTGGACTTGGAGAGCTAAAGGGAACCAGCTGAAAATTAAATCTGAAGACATTAAGAACCAAAGGAATGAGGAGACCACGCTCCCTCCTGTAAATGCTGCTCACACCATGAGCACTGGCTAGATGCTGATGTATACTAGGGACTTGAGCCTTATCCTCAGAGAGCAGAGAGCTGAACAAGGTGTGAGGTAGGAGACCTGGTCTTGGAAGAATGTAGGCTGCACCAGTGGAGGTGGAGGTGGAGGTGGTGGGCTATGTGGATTAGGACCTGGGCTAGAAGGATGACCAGGAGAGTGTGTAAACAGCCAAGGCCACAGCAGGTGATAGAGTCACTGGATACAACTGTCCATGGTATGATGTGCTCAGGGACCCTATCAGGAAATAGCATGTGTCAGGAGAGCCAGGGAAACAGATGGTGTTGGCAGCTTAGGTGAGAGGCCATAGGTCTCATGTGAGAATTTAGAAGGCTGCAGCAGTAGGTAGAAGGGTTTGCTTCCCCTTAGCCACTGTGAGAAAAAGCACTGACTCCACACAAGGAGATTTAGCAAGAAATAAGGAGCCAGGGCAGGCCAGCTCCTAGCAACACCCTCCACAGTTCATGTCTTGCCTGCCCAACTGGACAGGATGGCTCTTGAAGGCCAGAGGACGCCATGGCCTTCTCTGTCCCCTCTACTGAGCCCAGCATTGCAATCTGTCCCCAGGAGGTATTTGCTGAATATGTGTTATCTGCCTAGTAACCTGAGTGAAAGGAAACCTAGAAAAAAGCTCAACAAGTCTCCAGTGGATGAACTTGCACCAAGATACCTGGATAGAAATGCTTGACCAGATAGAACTTAACATATGAGAGAATACCTGAAATCTGGTGGGAGGGGTATGAGGGGTGGGGAGGGAGGGAGTGTCTAAATTTGATTAAGATGTATTACATGAAATGCACAAAACTCAATAAAAATATTAAAAATGAAAAAGAACTGTATTAAAAGTGAAAACTAGCTTAGAATGTCAGGATTATGATCCCTGCCCCACAACATCTTTGACTAACGTTTTTCTTGGGCTTTTAAATGGACCTGACTTTGCATAGTCACTTCTCCACTTCGATGTGGGGCTTCAAGGAATCTGCTTTTCTGAGCCTGTTTCCTCACCTGCAAAGGGGGGATCATGGGCGTTCATGTTAGGTTGCATTGTTGTGCAAACTAAATGATACCATGCCAAGAAAGCTTAGGGTACACTGCCATGCACATAGTAGGTTCTCGAAAATTCACATCTGGGGCTAAGAATATTATGAACTGCAGTGGGATTTTACATGCAGAAACTTTTCTTGCTACCTTTTTTTAAGGAGATAGGTTCATTTGCATGTGTATATACATTACATTGAAAATGGCTTATTACAATGAAAGTCACAACAGAAAAGCCCAAAATAATAAAAAATATCCCAAATACTAATACCTAGAAATGGTCATGAAAATATTTTGGTGAACACCTTCCAAAGTTTTCTGTACTTTAAAGAAACAGATTTATATAATTTTCCATACACAGGAACAAACTATATTTACATCCTGAATGTATTTTGTAGACAATGCCATGAGTTTCTTTTGTGTAGATGACTGTGGATACATGTCATCATGTTTTAAACCTAAGGACTTAAAATCCAGAAATGTAAAATGTACCAAAAGTAGAGAAAGAGCATAATGAACTCACTTATTCCATAGTATCAACAATTAGCAACGTGGTTAACCTTAGTCATCTATACCATCGCCACTCCACCTCAGTCCTTTAACATCAAGAGAGAGAGAGAGAGAGAGAGAGAGAGAGAGAGAGAGAGAGAGAGAGAGCTTTAACGTTTTCACGAACGAGATCCTGCTTTACACA